CATATTGAAATCCTTCAAAATCAATGATCTTCTTTGATCTTTTTGCCCAAGCCTTTTAACTAACGAAGAGTATATTCAAACAAAACATCATCATTCTACAAGTGATTTTTAATCACTCGTGTTATAACTAGTTTTTTCTATTTTAAATCAATTGAAAATACAATGTGGTACAGCATAAAAAAGATCATCGTTCAATTTTATCACTATGTGATAAACGAATGTCCATTATGCTATATACCAAAATGTGATTGACACAAATCATTACCAAATATGCAAATGTCCGCTATGCTGTAATTTTTATCATTTTTGCAAGATTTGAAAACATCACTTTCAGATAGTTTATAACACTCACGAGTCTTGTGTCGCGAATTGAGTCTTGCATCACTAATTGCATCTGTGTCTTGTGTCTGCGTCAATGCATCTCACACTAAACTAATTGTGTCACACGACTTTTAATTTTGACAACATGTATAGTTTTATCAAAGCATTATCTTTTAACTGTAAATCACATAAAATAAAGATCAATCTTCCAAATATTTATATCAAACAAAAAGTGTTTCTATTCTGAAATTAGAATTTTATTAATAATTGTTAAAAAAATAATAACCAATTAATTCATTTGGAAAAAATGAATTAGTCTGGTTTTTTATTAGTAGAAAATTTACATTTTCAAAAAAGATTAAATCTCCTGCACATTTATTTATCAAAAACATTTTTTGCAAATATCCACCACACATTTTCAAAAAAAAAATTTTAAAAAATATCATAATAAAAATGAAAGATTTTTACATTTTCAAAAAAGACTTGATTAACTCTTTAATTATTCTTTTTTTTAAAAATAAATATAGCAAAACTTAATTTTTTAAAAAACATTTATATAATTATTAACGCATAACAGTTTTTATTATTCATACAAACTTTTTTTCAATTATAATATACACATTTAAAAAAAAATGGTTGAATATAATTTTTTAACACTTTCATCTTTTGAAGAAACCATTCAAGAATGGTTGTCATTTTCTAGTACCAGAAAGCTTTTTACAAGGACTGATTATAACAAAATCAAATCAATTCTTCTGATCCAACAACTAAAATAGCTGATTCAAGCTATAGATACTCTGTAAGAAACCATTATCTTCTTCAGAAGATTGGAGATAGCTATGTTGTATTAAAGAAGTCTACAAGTTGTGGAAATGGTGACAAGCCATTATTAGTTAAGGAAGACCTGTATAAAGTTTTTTGTGAAGCTCACCTTGAAAACAATCATGGTGGGCAATCTCAAACTTGGAAAAACATTAAGAAAAATTGGGATGGTGTGAAGCAAGACTTGATTGAGCAATTGGTGAAAAAATGTACAACTTGTGCAAGTAGGAGAAATTCAGTAAAACCAAATCTTGCTGCCAAGCCAATCCTTGCATCAGGATTTATGTCACGTCTCCAGGTAGTTTGTTGAATTAAATTAGATGGTGATTAGTTTGTTGAAATTTTACACTCATCCATTAATTAAATAATTGTGGTTTTAGGTTGACTTGGTTGATTTTTCCTCTCAAGAAGATAATGGGCATAAATATGTTCTGCATGCCAAAGACCATTTTACAAGATTTTCATGGGGATACCCTATGAAAACTAAATCATCAAAAGAAGTTGCTAACCATCTATTTGATCTTTTTATGATATTTGGTGCTCCAACTATTTTGCAAAGTGACAATGGGAAGGAGTTTAAATCAAAAGATATTATAATTGAATTAAAAAATATTTGGCCAAATATGAAGATAATTAATGGACGCCCTAGACACCCACAATCACAGGGGTCAGTTGAGTGTGGAAACCAGACTCTAAAATACAAATTGGGTGTCTGGATGCAAGACAATAATTGTAGTGACTGGACATTTGGTTTAAAATTCATTATTCACAGTATGAATACTTCAGAATCTGGTGCTACAAAATATACACCATACAATATGGTTTTTGGCACAAAACACAAGGAAAACAGTATTATATAAAATTCACGATAATTTTTTGACAAAGATTAAATCCCAATTTTTAATTTATAGGAATTTATGGTAGTGAGAATAATGGCAGAGAGAGTATAAATATTTCATATAATTTTGCAAATGTAAAGTTAATGCAGATCATTCATAATATGTTTCTACCTTTTAGATGATATTACTGTTGGTAATACTGATACTGATAATGCTGGAAATAGTGATGGAGAGGGTAAACATTACATTTTATTTATTTCCATTAAAGTTAATTTTAATGTGAATTATTCATAATGTGTTTTCTATCTGTAGATAATATTAATGTTTATGATACTGACCTTAAAGATGTTCTTGATATTCATAATATTGAGAATGTTGGTGGTAGTTTCAGTAAGTACTTTATTTGGAGTAATTTTTTGTAAGTGTGATTTAAATCCAATATGTATTATATTTGTTTTAGATAATATGTTGATTTGGAATAATTCAGAGGACTTTTTTAATGTTAAAGATGATAGCAATAAAAGTAAGTGTCTTGTTTAAAAATAATTCTCTTGATAAATCAATTATAATTAATTTCTAATTTTTTATTTTATTTTAAAGATGCAATTGCCAGTTGTAGCAAAAACAGTGTTTTGAATAATAATAAAGAATATGACAATTATTACTTTGATCATAAATATCTTTTTGATAATTTTGAAAATTTATTTTTGAGAATTTCTAATTAATATATATATAATAATAAAACTGATAATGATTGTGGTGAAGTTGAGGATGATGAAAGTGGTAAGTTAAAAAAATTAAAGAATTAACTATTATGAAAATATGTTATTTTTTTTAGATATTGATAATGATAATAAAACTGTTAATGATTGTGGTGAAGTCAAGGATGATGAAAGTAGTAAGTTGAAAAAATTTCTTTTTAAATTTAAAAAAAAAATAAAAATTTAACTATTATGAAAATATGTTATTTTTTTTTAGTTTTTTATTATAATAATAATAGTAGTATAAACAAAAAAGGAAAAGAGAAGGTTATTATTTGTAAGTTATTTTATTATTAAATTATCATTAGATTATTAACATTGATGATATTAAAAAATCATTATACCCTTTATTGATAATTATATTCAGATTCTAAAGTAGCAAAGCCACAACTATGCAAAAGAATAGAAGATGAATTGGATTTTTTTGAAAAACCAGCAAGAATTAATCTTCCATGGAAAGACATTGTTCTCAAATACCAGACACTCTTTGAACTACTTGAGACTGGAGGAGAGCCAAAAATTACAGAAAAAGATATTTCTTCTGCATTGAAAATGTTGTATACTATAAGAAATAATAAAGATTATTTAATTAGTGAAATAGAAGTTTGGGAAAAAAAACTTAAAAGGTATCTTAATAAAATAGGTAATGATGATGGTGATGGCAATGATGATGGTGATGGTGGTGATGGTAATGGTGATAGTGGTAATGATGAAAGTAATGATGATAACAAAAGTAGCAGTAGCAGCAGTAATAGTAATATTAATAAATATGTCAATCCAAAAGATGAATTGAGCTCGCACTATTATGTACGTCAAAATGCTCGACACAACCTTCATGTTTATACAGACAGGATGAAAAATTTCATGTTAAATAAAAATAATAATAATAAAAGGAAGAAGGAATTTTTGGTAGGGGATTTTGTAAGACTATTAATCCCAAAAATTGACAGACAATCTTTAGATCGTAAATATCTTTTATGCAAAATAATAAAAAAATATGACAATGAAATTTATCAATTGGCCTGTAAATCTGGAATAATAAATGTGGCCTATCCTGCTTCAGAACTTGAATTTATAGAAAATCAAGATATTCCAGAACTTTATTTTACGCCAATTAAAGAAATATCAATTAGAGAGGCTTCAAGATTGCAGAATGTAATAATTGAAAATAATAATAATAATAACAATGATGATAATAACAATGGTAATAATAACATTGATGATGATAATAAAAATAATTATAGAGTCTGTAATTGCAAAAAAAGTAATTGCAATACAAGGATGTGCCCTTGTAAAAAACATGACACAATTTGCACCTCTCGTTGCCATAAAGGAAGAGTGTGCTTAAATAAAAACATTTAAATATTATTATTATTTTTTTTTTAAAAAATGTACGTGATAAAAATTTTTAAACAATAAAATATTTTGCATAAAAAAGAATTTATTAAAACCCATGTAAATTAAAAAAATTAACATAGTAATAGTAATAAGTATTTGGAATATATCATTGTTGGTGTGAATCCACAGAAATTTAAAATTGACATTGTGTGAAAATGAAATTGTGTGAATTTAAAATTGACGCAAATTTAAAATTGACATTGTGTGAAAATGAAATTGTGAATTTAAAATTGATGCAAATTTAAAATTGACACTGTGTGAAAATGAAATTGCATGAATTTAAAATTGATGCAAATTTAAATTTAAAATTGACATTGTGTGAATTTAAAATCCACACAAATTTAAAATTTACATTTGTTGGTGTGTGAAAATGAAATTGTGTGAGTTTAAAATCCACACAAATTTTAATTTTCACATTTCTAATTTGCTTGTGTGAATTTTAAATTCACACATAATTTATTATAAAAATTTCAGATTTAATTTTCATGCATGTGAATTTTAAATTTAAATTTCACACATGTCAATTTCAAATTGACTCAAATTTAAAATTCACGCACAACAATGATTTGTAAAATAAAAAATCAAAAAAAAAATTTTTATCAATTTTTTTTAAAAAAAAACAAGCACAGAAGCTATAAAAGGTTCAGAAACTGCACTCAAATATGTACAACAAAAAAATTGGAAATTGATTCTAAGTAATTAGAAATGTCAATAAATTAAAGAAGGAAACTTCTTACAAAAATTCAAGAAAGAGTACAAACAAGGATTGAAGAATACTATATGCTAGAACAAAATAAATTTAATTTTTTTTTTTGTTGTTTATATGTATTATTATTTTATTATTTACAGCATAACGGAATTTAAATGTCAATCATTTTCCAAAATTGTTACACGGTTATTTATATTATTTTACAATAGTTGTCCTATTAAAAATAGGTCCGTCATTATTATATAAATCTGTTATAACGAAATTTTTTATTTAATAAAAAAAAATAGAAATAAAGTTTTGTCCAGTTATTCATTTTCAAACCGGTTTACAGGTTCAAACCAGTTTGGGCCAAACCAGATCCAAACTCTATTTACAAGTTTTTTTTGAAATAACCATCTAACAATAAAAAATTTTTTTATTGCTATATGATTGTATATATGCTGAAAATGGATTTTGTCTCATGAAAACTAGTTTTTGGTGTAGCTGCATATGAAGCAAGTGATTTAAAAGAGGTCCGGGAATTATTTATCCTCACCGATCATTATATAAAATCACATGACTACACTCTACCCTTAAATGTCAAAATATTACTTAAAATGGCATCACATGAATTGGATCACTTTTTCAAAAAAACATTACAAATTTAGCAATTAACATTTTAAATGAAAAACCTTTCATTTTAAATTGAAGTACTAAAAAAATCATGAATTTTTCCAAATTTATTAATTGAAAAATAAAGAAATTATATTTCTTATTTTACAGATATCGCACTTCCCAATAAAAGAATACATCTTTCCATATTAATTGCTTTGTTATATTAATTGAATCATTAAGTTGTTGAATT